GTTGGTGAATAATAGTAGACGTAATAAAGATAAAATGAGAAAGAACTGAAGATAGATTATGATTTACTAGTTTTTACCCGCGACGCCGTCCGCGTGAAATAATAAAAAAAAACAAAACATATAAGCCTATGTTTTCTTTCAAACTACGCTCTACATCTGAGCCAAATTTCATTGAGATCCGTTCAGCTGTTTAGGTTACAAACTCTCTAACAAACATCCATCCGTCCATCTAAACTTTCGCATTTATGTAATAGTAAGATGTACATATAAGACAAATAAAAAGATGAAAAGACCTACCGAAGGGATGGAGACGATTAGCGCGCGATAAAGAGACGTGGAAGAAACTAGGGGAGGCCTATGTCGAAGGACAACCTGACACGCAACTGGGTGTTGGAAAATGAAAATGTATATATATAAGTCATTAAAAAAAGATATATTTAACTTTAACTATTTATACTCTTTTTAATAAGTTGTAAATATTGTAAAATGTCAGCGAATAAAGGCTTTATCTATCTATCTAAGATGTATACAATATTAAAAACAAAAAAGGTTACAATGAAACTAAAGTAACTCTACTGAGTAAACATAACTAAAAGAATTCGTATAATTAACCCCGCCTAAAAACGACAAATCATTTGCTCGCATTGAACTAAACGGACCGTCAAAAGCTTTCAAACGGGTCACGAAAACTTCAGTCACGAAAAGTGTTTGAAATGCTTCAACTTAATTGTATAAATTTATGAATTAATTAATATAAAAAGTATAAGCCGATAACAACGAATATTTACATAAATAACTAATATTTGAAATCTCATAAAAATATATGTTCTTGACGAGCATTAGATAAGTAAATGGATTGCTCTTGTCGGACTTAAATAAGTAAAATACTCCTGTTTAAATTATTACCCTAAAAGTCTTAACTGGTATTAAGTTTTATAGGTGTGTCTGGCTTTGGTTATTTCAATTAATCTTAGTTTTAATAAAATAAAACGTATACTCCAACACGAAAACTGATGGATATCGCATATTACCGTCTGGAATGCGTCCTGGTTTTAGGTTGCACAGACATGCACTTACCATTGTTAAATAATGCATGCAATGAGAACAATATGATACATTGGAATTGAAATGACATCGCTCGTGTAACACGAACTTATAAATGTTTCATCGTAGTAAGCAAAATTCGATGTTTTGTTTTGTTTTATTTTGTTAACAGGTAATAAATAAAATTAATATAAAAACATTACATTATTCGAAATCTTATTTTCCTCTATACAAAATCTTGTAAAGCACAATTTGTTACATAGTGAAAACGATATCTCCAACAAAAGCAAGCGGAATGGATATTACTTAGAGAAACACTTAATAATAGTTGTTAAGAACTAGACGCTGAAACGTATCATTCATAACTTTGTGTACGTGAAAGTTTCCAACGCTATGAAAAGCCTTATATTTGTATGTATACGGGCCTTGTATAAAGTTTTCTTCATCTGACAGTTTTCTGTGCATGAATTATAACAGACTTGGACACACGAAAGGATAAGATACGAAATGAGTATATTAGAGGAAGCCCCTGTGGTAGAGAACTTAAATCAAAGGTTGGCATGGTATGGGCATGGGCAGGGATGAATCGCATGTTACAAGGATAACGTTAGTTAGAAGTGTGGTACACCGGGACAGGTAAACCTAGAAAGAGATGAATGCATTGCGTGAAATTTGACATGATCCAAAAGGGAGTGATGACTGGATGACGTATGATAGAGTTATCTGGGCGACAAAAACCTGTTGCACCGATCGTAAGGGAGTAGGATAAGGAGGAAGATGATAATGATTTGTAATGTTTTTTTAAAACAATTACTGTTTATTCTATGTTAACTACCTCACAAAATTTTATCGGTATTACGGGTGCAGACAATTTTCTTATGTTTAGTTTACATTAAGGTAAAGTTGGACGTTTTTCTAAAGACAATAGCTAAGCCATTCCTACATAAGTGTCAAAAGACTATACAATAATAAAATTAGTTATTTAACAACCTATTGAAATAAGAAACAAATGATAATTTATCATAGGTAAAGCAATTGAACGTGTTCTGAGCGGTGAAATCCTTCAAAAACAATTTAGCCAATAAACTGGTGAGAGAATTTGCACACGTACTTGTGAATCGTATTAGTTCGTTTATAAAGTCGCATGCAGAGAATATTTAGATTTCTGAATGTTACAATTGGTAGCATAAACGTCTAAAATTAAGCGTAATATTTTTTCATTAACTGAAAATTCGTTCACATGGCTTTAACAAAATATCTTGCCTTAAAATAAATGTTGGTAGTATCGTTTTTATATTAGAAAGTAACCATGATATAAAATGTTAAATTAAAAATAAAATCATAGATTCAATACTTGCTAGTATTTGCTTATACTTTTAATGCAATAACGTTACATTCTGTTATTAGACATATAAGATTGCTTTGGCATTATATTTCATTCCACTAAAGTCTCCTCCAGTCTCGCAATAAACTTTGTTCTCGTGTCTCATAAGGCAAAACTCGCAAACATTTATTTAATTTCTTTCAGAACTGCGAAGGGAATGTAAGCGCAGATGCCATATTGGTTTATATGACATCTGGATTTATATCTCAATTATTTTACAAATGTGTTTTCCTCTTTGTCTCTTCCTTTTTATAATTTTTTTTTTTTAACATAATATTTGAAATACAACAGATGTTTATATAGGTAGTAATAATTATGTAATAAGTAGACATTTATGTTATAATTTGCATACTTAAGGGACCGCATATGGTTTGAACAAATTATACGAATGTCAAACAAAATTAATGATTGATTAATGTGATAATTATGTTACTTGCAAAGTTGTAGGATTTTAATATCTTTTAAATTGAAGTAGTAAATTAAAAGCAATTAATATTTGGAGCAGGTAGAGCATTTACAAGTGCCTACTTCAACTAGGATGATTAGAATCGAGCAACGGCAAAATTAAATTCAAAATCAAATTAATTCATCAGAGACGGCCGTACCACTTATCACGCTCTTGAACTCTGAAATTATGCTGATTAACTCTTCGTCTACAATTTTATTTAGCTGCAATTAAATTTCAGACTCCGAAATATTTCAGCTCTTTTTCTTTAAAAAAAAGTAATTTTATATTAAAATATTCAATTAAAATTTTTGTTTTTAAAATCAGCTTACTTTAATGTATACAGATACAGATATACTGAATAGACTTTCATGCTTTCAACAGAATTTTAAGAAAGATTTAAAAACTTTACCAATAATTGGGTCAAAATAACAACATACAGAGCGAATTAAGGGTAATGGCTTCAAATTATACGCTTTTTGACGTATAATGTATCTTATGAATCACCATCATAAAAATTACCATAACAGATATGCAAAATACAGATGGAAATATTAAATATTTATTTTCCACCCCCGGTGTTGAAAGACCCAACGCCAAATTACCTTCAACTACTTTAGAAATCACTTACTTTACGAGATAATAGACAGACTCTACTTATCGAATTAAGAGTCTAAACAAGAATTAGGACGGGAATACCGTAGCTGACACAATAGCCTGTAAGCTAGTGGAACGTACATGCTACAGGCATATGAAAACGCTAACTGCCATGCCAGTGTATAGTATGCAAGTAGCTATCACCATATTTGATTTTGTTTGGGGGTACGTTGCGTAACAACGTCTCATGAAAGCTTAGCGAAAATATGATTTTTTTCGTATGAAACTGGCATTTTAATATTTAAATAACAATAAAATGTATCCTTGTGTGTAAATGTACCTTACATTTAGGCACATATGGCAACAATTCCAGAAGTGCAGTAATGTATTTACAAAATTAGGGATTTCCTTATTCGAGGAAAAATCTTGAAAAAAGCCTGCGTAGCTGGCAACCAAATCGGGAACCATGAATATTTATAAACCTTACGACCGCTGCGTCTTTGTGGGAGCAACCCTTTTACAGCATACCTCATTCGTGAAAAAACTTTATCGCCTTTCTGCGTAATTCTTTAACAACAAAAGACAAATAATACCGTACAAAGGAGACTATTTTTTAAGAAGTCAGTATTAAAACATTAACAATGTAAACATTACAACTAAATATTCAATAATTAACATCTTATTTCAGTTCTGGATTAAAAGTCGTTTCTCGATTTCAGTCCTACAGCATAGGTTGACAAATAAATCAATACAAAATCTATTTATATGCAGTCAATACATTTTAAAACACATTTATGAATAAATAATTGTTTGTTCGTCGCGCCATGGGTGAGGTACCCTGCGAAACTAACAACTGATTCTTCGCTTTCCCAAGTATTTTAAAGTTTTACGGCTGGATCTGAACCCAACGGCTCTCTGGTGTCAATAGACTCAGTACACTATATCGATTACAGCTGGCTTTATATTTTGCTGGCTAGACTGTTTCGTTATTTATATTTGTGGCGTGAAAAGTCATTCCGTCTCAACATTGCGACTGCTCCATTTTGGCATCATTTCAAACGATCGTTGCAGATGTCTGGCTTTTAAAACTACTTAAAAATTTACAAGAAATGACGTTAACTGGCTTTAACGAAGTCTATAAAGTTATTTGAATACCAATGCCATTTTATTAAAATAAACAAAAAAATACTGGCTATAACAAAATTAGAAGTTTATTTTTGAGTAAAAAAGAAACAAGTTTTTCGTGATGTTAGTCGTCGCTAATTTGATTCTGGCGAATCGCCAGCTTTGTCGCTGATTACGTCGCTTTACATTGAAATGACGTTGACTACGGAATCTATGATCACCTTACGGTATATTCTACAGTTTGTTTAGAGTTTAGGCTAAAATGTACACTCCCAAAACATAGAATCATGACTAAGGTTCCTCTATCAATACCAAAGATATATCTCGTGTAAACAGTGTAATCTTATATCTAGTTGGCCTGTCTGCGGAACGTTTTATCTAATCTATGATGTTTTTATTTTCCAGGCACTCGGTGGACTCGGTCGCGTCGTATTCTAGCCAGAATCACGTAGACCGTATAAGGACTCAGAATTTCTCAGCGGCTTCTTGTCAAGACGACGCAGACTTTGGGTCGATCAAGACCAGTCTGTTCAGGCGTTCGACGTCTAATTTGGATTACCCTATTAAACGACCCGACAGCGTCACTTCCAATACAAGCTCCACAAGAAGCCGCCTTCGAGATCTCGTCGAAAGGAAATCGAGTTCAGAGGAGCATAAGCCCGCGGCAAACACCGTCGCCGATATACAGTACTTTGAGAACCCTACGGAAACGTTAGAGTTCGACAATCCGAGGAACTCTCTCGACTCCAGAAACAGCCAAAAAGAACGCCCTAAAAAGAAAAAGCAATCAAAGAACAAGGAGAAAAACAAGGATTATTGTGAGATTAAAAATAAAAAACACGAAAAATATCAAAGCAAGCTAGCGGAATACTACAAACTACCAATTCAATTACCCCAAGACGAATTCTATCAACATTTAACAAGATCACGAGCGTCGGAAGAACTCCTGCAGAAACGTTTCTCGAACTCTGATACAGAATTCAATGGAAGTTACGGCAGATTGTGCAAGCATAAAGAAATCGAAGGCTCCAATTTAAGGCGAAGTCGAAGCTTGGCTGTAATACGAGAGGAAACTTTTACGGATCTTCAAATACAGAATCACGCTAAAAATAAAAGGTCACAACTAATACCACGCGCTCGTTTGTTCGATAAACCTTGCTTTAAAGACAGGTAACTATTTATATACACTCACTTTATTAGCGTTTACTTACATTAGTGGGAATTTAAAAAAAATAACTGAATAAATAGGCATTTTACCAGAATATCTTTTCTTTTATGATTAATATTTTTTGCTTAATTTCGATTTTATTTCTTATTGTGTAAATATTAGATACTAAAAAACATTAAAAGTACGGTATAAAATATTATCGTGTTTGTAATTCAGTGAAAATTTTATTAGTTAATATTTTCTTACTCTTTCCAGGTTACCTGGTCGTGCAAAATATCAAACAAAGGAGGAAGTTTTAGAAGGCATTTACATAGACAGCACTGCTTCTTGTTTCGGCGACATAAACAGATCGAAAGTAGACGATATTCAAGACGAAAAAGTCCAAGAAGGATCAGTAAAAGAAGACGCTGTATCGCAGAACGAAAGTCGACGATCGCAGTCTATTGGTGGCAGTTGGCCAAATTTAATCGAAGAATCCAAACAAACTAATCTTTCCGAAGATAGTATCGGGCACTCGCGAAACCCAAGTGAGATAGATAGCTTAGATTCAAACTACGTCCGAAAACACTACAACTTTGAAGAGCATCTAAGAAGTTACAAAGAAAATTCGGATACTGAACACTCCATTACTTCAGTAAATATTAACAATAAAGAAGCCTACATTGCTAGCAAAGATCGCGACAGTGAAAGCATAGAAGAAGCAAGGTCGAAGAATAAATCTCCATTTCATAGTGGGGAAAACATTTTAAGGCGGAGCGAAATATGCGTAGATAACTCATTGTTGATACTTGAGAAAGACGACTCGTACGACGAAATTTCGATCAGAAGTAATAAAAGCGCATTACAAGATATTTATGAAGTAGCTGTAAATGATACTAGGGATTTAAAAGATAAAGAAATTGACACACAATCAGTTATATCAGAGAACGACGGAACAATCTCCAGTCCACCTGATAGTATAACATCGTATATATCCATTTCCATAGCATCATCAACTGATAAGTCTCAAAAATTAGAGCACTTAGCCAATTCCTTAGCTGAAAAAATAGATGAATATTGTGACACACATTTCAAAGAAGACAACTCAGTAAATTCTCACAATATTAATACAAGTCATCAAAGAAACCCAGATCCAGACCCCATTTACACAAAAGTTCAGAAAAAGACATTTGCTGACATAAAGAAAGATTTACTCAAAGAGAAAGAAGATAAAAGTCCAAGTAACGAAATATACATAAACAACACATACATAGAAAATAAAAATAAGAAAAACAATTGTACATCTATCAGGAATATAACTACGGAACCATTTGTAACCACACTAATAGAAAATCAATATTATTCCTTGCCTGATATTAATATAAGTAAGTGTTTAAGAAAATCTGAACGAATTGACGCTCAATTGAGAGAAGAAGACAAAGAAGACATACCTTGTGAAAACACTTATGAAATAGCTCATACCAATTTTAAAGAAATATTAGCTGCAAAGAGCACTGAACAATACGGTCATTTAAATAGATCCTACAATCAATCTCCTCAACTTGCAACAAGTACAACAATATACGTACCGGAATATGAGCAAACAAATACAATTAACAGCTTCGCAAAACTAGATGATGATTTAAAATCTATAATAACAATAGAAAGTTCTAACGTTGACGATCAAGAAGAAAATTACTTCAATTCAGATGTTCATCATCAAAACGAAAGAGAAATCAATGAAATAGAAGGGACAATAAGAAATAATAAAATTATTACTAAAGCAGAAAGTTTAAAGCTCTCAGGCTCGGTATTACGACCTGACATAAAAATATCGAAATCCTTGTCAAACGATAACATCAATAAGTCTGTATTAGAGAAAAACAAGAAGACCAATATAAGAAAACATTATTCGTTACGGCAGAGAGATCCTTCTAGTGATAATATCCGAATTCCGAGTCCAGACACTGTAGAGAAAACATTACAGAACTGTATTGAAACCGAAAAAGTCAAACCGAAAACTCTTGAAGAAGCTAAAACTAATTCTCTTTTATCGCGAGTGCAATCATTTAAGACTTCGGCACAATCGAATATTACTATATTGCCACTTAGTGGTCATCAAACTATAGTCATTGATCCTCCAGTAACAATAAGTGTACCAGATCTTACGCAAACGAATACTACAGCTCACACAACTGAAATTTTGCCAAATAAGCCACAAAACGAAAGTATAAAAGATAAAGTAGACGAAATACAGCATAATTCGTTAGGATCTATTGACACGTCGAATTTCTACATTCCAAAAGATCCATTTATTACTATAAAACTAAACAAAGTTGTAAAACAAACAATTCCTAAACTCACGAAAGAAATACCACATCAAACTGTCATAGAGCAAGTTAAAATCGATAAACCTCCTAGTAAATTGATAATCAAAGACAGTAATAATAGTGCATTTACATCAACCTATACTAAAGCTACAAATAAAATGACACGACCTCAAGTAATACGAGTGGTTGATTCAAAAAACAAAGTTTTATCATCTAACAATAATACTGAAAGTAGCAATTGTGAAATAGGTAACACGAGTGATAAAGCTAACAGTAATGAGAAACCGGAACAGAAAGATGTCCGCTTCGAAAGTAGGAATGACTATAAAAATGAGTTTACAGTCAAAGAAAAATTACATAATGCTATAAAAACAGATCTCGAATACCAGGAAAAAATAAATTCCGTTAAAAGTTATTGGTCAAAAATGATAGAAAAACCGACTGAAAATCAATTAAAACCTGAGGTAACGGAAAATGAAAAAAGTGTGGTAGAAAATAATGTACCGACAAAAATCGAAGTACCGGAACCAGAAAAAGATGATTCTAAATATGTGCCAGAGATATCTGTAGGAAGCATAATAAAATCTTTAGAAAGTGTCAAAATTGTTGACAGTATTAAAAAAATAAGTCAAACAAAATTACAATTATGGAAAGAGGAAACAGAAAAGGTCAAAAGTGATTCTGAAATAGAAGAACCGACTATCCAGAAAATAAAACAAGAGTGCGAAGGAACTATTTACGACAGACCTAAACCGATTCAAATTACGAAAGAAGGACAAGACATTAGTCGGGACACACCTGAAATCGAAATAGTGGAATTAAGTAATGAAGACGACCAAAACCAAAAAACTCAAGCCACCATTATAAAAGCAAAAGGTTACGAGAAAGGATGCGACGAATTTGATCATGTCCGATATAAAGTAATGAAGTCTGAACTATTTAAAAATAGTATGATTGCTAATTACCGAAAAGAAGCACAATTCGACGGATTGTTGCAATATTTACAAGATTATAGCTTCCAAGAATTATTAGTAAATAACAACATCGTAATTATAGAACCAGTTAGAACAAAGGTGGAACCTACTCCTAAGAAAAACAATAACTTGGACCCTTGTAAAATACCCTCATCACTCTTGAAGAAAAATGAAAACTCAGGACAGATAGATAAATCAAAAAATGCAATTAAGCGTCATTTCTTTTATCATCCCATAAGGGTAAATAAAGAAATAATAGAAGAAGAACTTCCTAACCCAGATACAGTAAAGAAAGTACGGAATTTATTTGAAGATACTTTAAAGATGAAATCACCGGTAAGTCAAGATCCACCGCTTGTTAATGAAAACAGTAGACTAACAAGACGGGCAACTTCATACAGAAATTTAAGCGAAGAAAATAAAACAAGTAAGACTGGTGGAAGAAAGAAAGTAACACGACAATTAACAATTGATACTAACTTTGGAAACAAAAAATGGGACAACGCGAGTCTTTCAAGTGGTGTCTCAAGCGGTGATTTAAGTTCTAATAACGAATACGAAGCAGACAGTCCCTATTCTACAAAGAATCTAAAAGATACCGTATATAGCTCCAGTGATGAATATCTTTGCGATTCTATGAGTCAAGATTTTTGTTGCGAAAGTCAATACGTAAGCCCTGACATTCTAAAAAAAATTAGAGACTGTGGAACATCTATTACCTATTATGGAGGGAAAGTTTTAAATTCTAAAACAGGATCATCTGTTAGTCCTATGACCAGAGCTATAATGGATGAAATAAAAAGTTTGCAGAAAAACTGCAGCAGGGATTGTTACTCTTGTCAAACTAAGTGCAAAGGTGAAAAATGTTCATGTCTCGTGGCTGATAGACACGTACAGATGGGAACTGATAAGCAAAACTTGAATATTACAGAAGAAAAAATAAATCAAGACAGTTATGAAAAAGCCATGCGTTCTGAAGGATTTCCGGGTTTTAAATTTAAACTCGTTAAATCGAACAGTTGCAGCAGTCGTTTGGAACTAACGGGGACCGATGAAAGTCAAAACCCTAGACTAAAGTACAGAAAACAGAGATCTACAGAAGATCCCCCATTAGTTCACGAAGAAGACAATTCAGTTAAGAACAAAATTTGTCGTTTAGAAAGTTACAATAAAGGAATCGTTAAAACGCCATTCGAAAATAATAACAACGAAGATAAGAAAATAAACTTAAACTTAAGGCCACAAGTAAGTAAAGTCAGTGAAGAGAAAGAAGAAATCTCAATGCGTTCGCCGTCATACAACGAAAATTCCAAAACCGATACAGAACAAGAAGCTGAAAACCAAAAAAATCTGGTACAATCTGACAAACAGAATATAAACGATGCACATAGTTTCGAAAAGAAATTCTATTACCTTAACGAAAATTTAGACCACAGGAATGTACCAACAGGGAAATTTGGCGAAATGGTGTTCGAAGAATTTGAAGTTTTAGAATCATGCTATGATAGTTTAAATAGCAATAAGTCTTTAAAGTAATTTAATATAATTTTGTTAAATCTGTTGCAAATATTAAATGTGATCTGTAATCAAAGAACGCTATTAAATTATTGCTTGTAAATTTAACCATGGTCTTATAAGTATTTAGCTTATTCATGTATGTTATTAGGATATCAAATATACTGGGCAGCAATCGAACAATGTCCTATAATGCAATGTAGTTTGGTGATGGTTTCTTTAGTGTTTTTAATAAATGAATAGTTACTTATGCTGTATTTCATTGTCATAACTAAAGTAACCTTACCCTCAGATTTTTCTGGTTCCAATTTTGTAGGAGCATTTTTAGATCCGTGGACACATGCGCTTGTGAAGATAGAACGCCGTGTGGGTCGCCAGCGCCGGCACCACGACTCCTGTGAACAAAATTATATAAATTAAAAACATGTAATGCTTTTGTAGGTTGTTTTTATTTAATTTTCTTCAAATTACAATATAAAATCGAACCCTGCCAGGCTTCTTTCGCTAACTGAATATTAAACTTTAGCGTGTTATATTGTAGGTGTAATAAAGGTGCAACGAAGTTATTTGAATCGAAATTTGAAGACATTTTATGAATGAAAATTTATCAATTAATCATGATTGTATCAGGAACCAATTATTATTTATCACTTATGTTACATAATAATCGCATCAGCGATAAGATTAACGTTACGTGAGTACTATTACAGTCTCTAAGACGTGGGATGAATGCCTTTCAAGCATGGAAAAATAAAGCTGTGATCACACTAAGGCTGCTATATAAATTTTTTTTTTTAGTTTTTTATTGGTATGTAGTTTTTTTATTTTAATTAACAAGAACTTTCCTTAAAAGGTTAGGTATACAAATGTAGGAAAAAACACGTTTTAAACGAAAATAAAACATATCATAGGAGAAGCTTAATCAAGAATTTTTTCCTTGTAAAGAACACAAGCTTCATTGGCTGAATCATGAATTGGCAAATTGCAAAAATACTTAGTACATGAGTAACTCAAGTTTCGTTTATGCTAGTGTGCCCACATCTTTATCTGTTATTTGGACTATGCAATATTGAAAACCAATCAATAATAATGTCCTCTAACTAAAACAATACAATGTGATTTGAATATTAAAACAAAGTTAGAATTAGAATCCTATATATATTCAATTCATGTATATTTGTTTGTTTAGATTATCAATTGTAAGAGAAAGTAACTATGATAATATATGGAAACAATATATGCTTCTTATTTAGAGAAAAACAAACAAGAAGACAGAAGCCTATGTCTTTTTGCTACATACATGTTTTTAAAATTCAATTTCTTTGAAGTATGGAACAGTATCGAACTACTAATTATCAAATAGTGTGATGAAATAATAGCTAATCACCTTAATTACAACTCAACATGTTTGCTAAATACCAAATATTCTTATATGTACT